ACAGAAGCTAAGCTAACTAAACTTAACCACCAGGCCACAGGGCCAGCCCCCGGAGAGGCTTTTTATATTTGACCACCCCTAAAGTTGGTTCAGAGAAGGCTGCATTTTGATCATACATTCTAAAGCCCAGTAATAGAATGGATTGAGAGACTGTTATTGTAAGAACCACTTCATTCTCTCCTAATGACATGATCAGTTTCTTACAAGGCATTTTTACTATAGGGGGCAGGTGGGATAGAGATTAAGAATCTCTTTAAGAAGCTGGTGATAGGCCAAGGACCTTCTCCCTCCGAAAAACGCACACATAAAATGTGGCACACAATTTTAGAAAATATAAAGGCCCTCTGCAGCCTATTATGGACCCCAGGCTAAGACTCTGACAAAGAGTGCAGGTATGGGAAGCCCGCATCAACCAGTACACTACACTGGAGGTCTACAAGGCAGCAGAGACTTTACTGCTTAGAGCAGGCAGTTAAGGAACTGAGAGCCTCACTCGGATAAAGTCACAACTAATAAAATATTTAATTAAATACCTTAACAAGTTTTAAGTCTCACGACATCAACAAATGCATAAACAGATTTATGTAACATTCTCCAGAGCAAAGCATCTATATAAAACACAACATTTTAAATGCGATGAGAGCATGAAGAAATTACCTAAAACAGAAAGGCATAAAATACCAATGTAATTAAATTTTTCCAGTTGAAGAATCTGTGTGACAATAATTACATACTATACATAATTACAGACTATATCATAACACACAACCTAATCAAATATGAGTTTTATCATTTAAAAAAAATCAGAAGATATAGTCTATAATTGGTATATATCCTAACCAAACTCATTGAAAAAAGAAAACATATCTCATTTAATGCAACAGAAAATTATTATTTACAGACTGAATTGTCCTTTTAAATGTTGAATCAAATACAATACTTTAATGAATCCTTTTACACAATAAGGACTGTTATGGGTTGACTTTTGCCCTCCTAAAATTCATATGTTGAAGTTCTATCCCCCAGTACCTCAGAATGTGACTTTATTTGGAAATAGGGTCATTGCCGATATAATTAGTTAAGATGAGGTCATACTGGAATAGGGTGGGACGCCACCAATCCAGTACGACTGGTGTCCATAGATAAAAGGAAATGTGGACACAGACAGACAGGGAGAATACTGTGTGAACATGAAGGCAGAGATCAGAGTGACGTGTCTACAAACCAAGAAAGGCCTCAGACTGAAAACAAACCACCAGAATCTAGGAGAGAGGCCTGGAACAGATCCTTGCCTCATGCCTTCAGAGGGAGCATGGCCCCACTGACACCTTGACCGCAGACTTCAAGTCTCCAGAAATACGTGACAATAAATTTCTGTTGTTTAAGGCACTCATTTTGTGATACTTTTTTACAGCAACTCTACCAAACTAATAGTGACCTAAGAAATTTTACTCTGTAACAAACGTTCACGCTACTATAAAGCAAGGGATGTCCACATCAAATGCTTGATAGAGTGAAAAAAAAAAATGGGTAGATTTTGTAAGAACAGCATGTTAACTGGAACCAGGAGCTATTTTTACCTAATCTTCTGCCAGTTTAAACCAAGTGAAAAGAAGTGACATTACTCTTGCCAAAATGAAATCCCAATATGAATAAAATTTACTAAAAGTAGAGTAATACATGCTGATTTGCCCTATTTTACAGTAAAAAAAGAAGGATATTTATTCTAAATGCATGGTACATTATATCTTTATGAGCAATTAATAAGAGTACATTAAAGTAAAAAGATGATCAATTTTTACTATTTTGATATATTCGCAAGCTGAAAGGATTTTCCCCTCTAATAAGATTTATTTGGCAAAGCATTTTTTTAAGCCTCCAGATAGCAAAGATGTTGAAAATAACTGTCAGCAACAAGGTAGACATAATCAGTTCTAAACCAAAAGAACAGTTGTGACATATCTAATCAGAGATTTCAAATCGGTAGTAAACACTAAAGGTATACTGCTTTATTAACACAAATATCATCCCTCACAAATACAAGCAAAAAACTCAATTTCATAGAAAGAGAAATGTTTGCCTGAAGAGGGGCCTTCCACTTATAAACTCAGTCTATTTAATCTAGCATATCCATTCTCAAAAGGAAATAATTCTAAGTCCAAAGCTTCCTCTACAGATAAGACCAGGTTCATAGAGGTGCACGGGGAAAAATGGCTTAAAAAGTAGGACACGGCGGGGCTGGCCCTGTGGCCGAGTGGTTAAGTTCGCACGCTCTGCTGCAGGCGGCCCAGTGTTTCGTTGGTTCAAATCCTGGGCTTGGACATGGCACTGCTCATCAAACCACGCTGAGGCAGTGTCCCACATGCCACAACTAGAAGGATCCACAGCAAAGAATATACAACTACGTACTGTACTAGGGGGCTTTGGGGGAAAAGCAAAAAAATAAAATCTTTAAAAAACAATTAAAAAAAAAAAGTAGGACATGGGGGCCGGCCGCCCAGCGGTTAAGGTCATATGTTCCGCTTTAGTGGCCCAGGGTTCACCAGTTCAGATCCCGGGTGTGGACCTACACACGGCTTATTAAGCCATGCTGTGGTAGGTGTCCCACACATAAAATAGAGGAAGACGGGCATGAATGTTAGCTCAGGGCCAATCTTCCTCAGCAAAAAAGAGAAGGACTGGCAGCAGATGTTAGCTCAAGGCTAATCTTCCTTAAAAAAAAAAAAAAAAGTAGGACATGGCTTTTTCCCCTACATACAAACAAACATTAGCACTGGCTTTACACACCCTTCAAAATACACGTACAGGCACAGGAAGAATAACCTTTGCCTTGGGCTTTCTAAGACTGAGCTACCGTAACTTACAGATAAGAAGAGATTGTGTGTTGCTTCACCTTTAAAATAAAAAGCTTTTCAGTAAAAAGAAGAAAATGACGCAGTGATTCCGCATCTGGCTTTGGTGTGATAAATACTAATCTCATCTTAACAGAGGTAGACCTCCTCTAAGGATCTAAGTTCTTTCACATCACAATTCAAACGTTTTATTGTGAACTTCAGAGCTGGGTAAAACTTCTGGATTTAGCTACAGTGGAGCCCCTTGATTATTTTCTGTTAAGATAGCAAAGCTAAAAATTATTGCTTCTGCAATTTCCTCCTGTCTCATTATTACTAACATAACAGACAGTATTTTATATTTATAAAATTATCCTGCACGTTAATACCATTTATTGAACACTTTTTACATTTGCTCTACAAATTTATTTATCCTCATATCGATTCCAAGAAACGGATATTATCTTCATTTTAGCAAGGCCAGATTCAAAAGTTAAATAACTTGCTCAAAGTCACAGACAGCAGAGGCGGGTCAAGCCTTAGCTTTTCCCACTCCATAGCCAAGGTTCCTAACTGCCTTTTAGGGCACCAAGACTTGCAAAGGAAGTCCTCAGAATCAAAGAGAAAAAAAGGATGTATTGTTGGTAAATTCAGTGCTGAGGTCTGCTTTACAGAAGTGACAAGTACCTGAAATAAAAAAAGGCTGGTGACATCAATGAAGTCCTGCCTGAGAATTTATGGGGAGCACACATGCCGCTTCTGTAAACCTGAAGGAATTTGAAGTATAAAGTCACTAGAGGTCTTCCAAATTACACTAACAAGGCACTTAGAGTTACAAACACTTCCGGCAGAGAGGTCTTAGATCCAATTTGAAAAGCAAAAATTAATGGGCATTTTTTTTACTGAAATCGTCTTAGGATTCTTGATTTCCCAAACTCACAGATATAACTGATTCTACAAAGGCAAGTCTGTGGTGATGAAGATGGCATGTGGGTACAGACAAGATGAACTTCATGCTGCATCTGCCACTCTAATTTAACCAAGATATAACACAACCCTCACCTTTTCTGTATGGGGTTTATAATAGGACTGTTATTGTGGTAGCCTGGGAAAAACCTCACTTCTGAGAAACTACGAGAAAGCTCAGTATTAATTAAGGCTAATCTATGAAAAAATATTTAAGGCTAAATTATGAGAAATATTTAAAGAAACCAACAAAGTGCTTACTTAAAGATCCCTTAAACTAGAACTGTTTCAGAAAGATAAAAAAATAGTAACCATACTTATTATATAAGAAATAGGTCACATTATAAGTATTCACTTATTTGTCCCTATATAAAATTGTTCAACGAGCCCAGTGAAATTTAAAGTATTAGAATCTGAATTAAAGTTTTATTATAATCACAGCTTGTTAACCCCACAGAGAAAGATGAACACATCAAGACGTAAAAGGCTCACTAAAAATAACACATTAAAATAAATGATGATTTTAAGTCTTCAACAATTTGGTTACGTTAAGGCTGCAAAACCCACGGGAAATTTTTAAAGACACGCAGAGTGCTGGTCAAGCCCTGGCCTCAGAGGAGTTTCACCACCGAGCTCTCCAAGGAAAAGTTAATGCATGTGCTTCCCAGGAGAACGCCCCATTCCCATTCCTCTGGAGCCTGCGAATGCGGCGGAAGGAGGGATGCAGGGGCCACAGGCGAAGCGCGCAGACGGCGGGCATCCCCGCAGCCACCCCCAGTGCGGGCCCCCCTCGTGCCAGCACATCCCGGGACAGCCGGCGCACCGACACCGCAAGGTCACCGGGGAAGCGGCGACTTTACATAATCTCCCGCCGCGCCGCGCCGCCCGGGCACCTGAGCGCCGCCGTCCCCTCCCTGCGGCGCCCACGCGGGGCGGCGCGGGGGCGGCGCGCGGGGCTCGGAGGCGGGACACGGGGACCTGCGGGCGCCCGCAGCGCCGCTGTGGGGCGGGGGACGGAGGACGGAGGGCGGGCTCCCCGCCGCGGGATGCCCCGGGCCGCCGCGGAGGGCAGGAGGCGATGCGGGGCGCGGCCGGGGCGGGCTGGGCGCGGGCCGGGGTCCCCAAGACCCCCGCCGGCTGCAAGCGCCCAGCGCGCCCCTCGCCGCTCCGCCCGGGACCGGCCCGCGGCGCACCTGTCACGCGCCTTACCTGAGTGGCTTTGTGGAATTGCTTCTTGAGCCCGGCCACCGACATGGTGAGGGAGGACGCGCGGGCGGCTGCGGCTGCGGGCAGGAGGCGGCGGACGGGGCAGGAGGGCCGAGCGGGGCGGCGCGCTGGCCGGGCCGCCGCTCGTCGTGCCGCCGCCGGGGCTGTGGGCGCGGGGACGCGGAGCGGCGCGGGACGCGGGCTCGTGCGGAGAGACACCCTGACGTCAGGGGCGGGTGATGCGGCCTCTTAAAGGGGACGCGGGAAGCCCCGCCCCGGGCGCGGGGGTGGCGGGGCAGGTGCTGCGGTACGAGCTACCTGGGCACCGGCCGCCGCCGCGGCGACTGGCTCCGCGGTCCCGGCGGGCCGGCCCCCTCGTCAGAGGGCCGAGGGCGGGCTCCCGCCGCGGGGTTGTCGGTCGTGCACCCGCGGACTGCGGACCGGTCGCTGCAGCTTGGCAGGCCAGGCACCGGCGCGACTCAGGTGACTTGCTCGGCTTCCAGGTAGCCGCAGCGGCGCTGCCTGCGCCCGGCCGCCCGCCCTTTGAGGCAGGCTCTCCGCAGCCTGCACTGGAGGAGCGGCGCTCTCTGGGGTAATGACTAAGTCAGCGCTCCTTCTCTGCCCTGGCCCCGCTTCACTGGTCACAGAAAACATTTCTCTGCCCTCGTTTCGATATCCCTTAAGCCTACTTAACGTTAGGGAAAGCCACTGACGCCTTCTTTTTCTTTTTGTTTTTTTCTGGTCTGATACAATTTACCAACTTCAGACGAAAAATTTTTTTAAACCCTTAAAGCCAGTCAGGTAAACAGAATCGAAGCGGGATATTAAGACAGAAATAGCATTTAATCCTTTGTTTATAGAAATGGCAAAGTACGAATATGAACTTGCTGTTCACTTACGATAGCAGACTTAGGAATTTCAATCTGAAATAAGCATTATATAATGTAAAAAAAGCATGTCACTAAGTTGTACAAATACTACATATGTAACAAAGTGTATATGGCTGGACTAAAGGAAACTGATGGAATTAGGTGAATTGAGAGCAGAGCATGGCTTCTGGGTTCTGGAAATGAGCCGCTTCCTATGGTCTTTCTTGCACTGAGGAGCACATAGGAAAAAACTTGAACGCTGTCCCCTCTTAGGGACCAAAGATACAAGGAGGAGAAACCAGTGGCAGAAGCCAAGATAAGAGAGACTTCCAAGGATGAATAAGGAAACCACGTGGCAGAATGGGAGCTTCCTCCACAACCCCTGCTGCCTGGGAGGAACCACAGACCCCACTCCCACCGGGTAGCCAGACTGCTTGGGCACAAGGTGAACATCTGATACGAGGTATCCTGTCCATAGGCTGTTCTACCAATCCTAGTCCTTGTTGATGATGTGAACTGAAACACATAAAGGCAGACTCAAGCCGATAGTGGTGGGTAATGGAGCAGTGGGAGGACATGGACCGTCTGCAGAGAAAAGCAGACAAAAGGAGAAAATCTCCAGGTAGTAGTCATTATTTATATTCATGTACCTTCCAGATCACGGAAGAATTGCACTTTCCAAACCCTTTGTGGTTAAGTGGGACGTTGCAACAAGTTTTAACTAGTGGGTTAGGAAGAAAAGTGACTGTCACTTCTTGGCAGAGAATTTAACTGTTGATATGAGATGCTGCAAAGCTCTCTTTTGCCTGTGCAACGGTGTTCTAGATATTTGTGGTCTGTCAACCAGAGTCAAGAGTGATGACGAAGAGGGGCAAAGTCCACAGCTGATGTTCAGCAGATGTTTAGCATGAGTGAGAAATAAACCGAGTAATTTTAATTCCCTGAGTCTGGAATTGCAACTGTGGCAAAACTAGTCTATCCTGACTGAAGCACATTGAGAAAATGCCTTCCCATTTCTCAGAAGATGAAAAGAGGTTTTCCAGTTCTTGCCTTGGCCCACATGTATTTTATTTTTTGTCATTAGATGTCCATGAAGTAGCCTTCCTTTTTCTGACAAAAAGCCTCAGTGACGTTTAGGGAGGTGTGTTCTCTTTTGTGCAACCTCACCCAAGCAGTCGGCAGAATTAGTCCCCAGGCCTAAAGGTCAGAGGGAATGGTGGCTCCATGTACTGACCATACCCTGACCTCTTATCAGCTAGAGAGGGTGAACAGTAAGCTCTGACGACCCACAGGGAATTCTAAAGAAATGTCAGAGCAAGGCACAATCTGTGTCTCAGAGAAACATCAGACAGGGAAAGACAAAAGCTGCTGATAGATAGATGGGGCTACTGATCCATGAGTCCAGGACAAATCGTTAAAGGCCCCATGAAGTGGTATGCCTAGGGACAGTTACTCGCATCTATGAGGCCCACCATGGTGATTTCTAGATTCTTGACACTAAGAAAGCACTAAGATGCTTGACACTAAGCAGGAGTTTGGACTCACTACAGGAGTAGGTGGGGCTCTAGGCTAGAGAGATTTGGGGGTTAGTGTTACAATGACTGCTTTTGTACTCTGACAGTTTGGTGAAGGCTCCATGCACACACGCACAAACACACAAACACACTCATGAAAAGATTACCATAAAATGCTAACAATGGTTGTGCAGCTAGAGCAGTTCTCAAACTTTAGCATGCATCAGAATCACCTGGAGGACTTGTGAAAGCGCCCGTTGCTGGACCACCTCCCAGTTTCCAATTCAATAGGTCTGGGTGGGACCTGAAAGTGTACGTTTCTAACAAGTTCCCAGGGGATGTTAATGCCCTGGTCTGGGGACCACACTTTGAAAACCCCTGGGCTAGAGTAGAGCTATTAGGAGTGAACTTTTTTCTCTCTTCTCCCAATTTGTAAAATGTTTTCCCATTACTTGTACAGTAGAAAAAGTATTTTATAGGTAATTTTTCCTACCTGGTCCCTGATCTCAACAATGGAACATTTTCACAGAAGGATGGGCCTTGGTTGAAGCTGCTAACAGATAGCAAGTAATCTACAAAGCGGAAGGGCCTGGGATTCATGAGCTCTGGTCTCTATGAAACTATGAAAGGTATGAAGCGGGGACCTGAAGATTCTCCTTAGAACTTTGCATACTTAACTGAGCCCTACATTTTACACAAACAAGTCTCTCTCTTTCCCTGATTCTTCATCCACCTACTTAGAGTATTCATCCTGCTATACTTCAAAGGAACTACCTTGGGAGAAAGAACTTTAAATCCTTTTGAAACCATAGTTAACTCTCCCAGATATCCCCTGGATTTCATGTAAATCCAGTATTTCTATTACGGCCACACTTTATACCTGTAAAGACCTTTGAGATGTTTTGAAAGAGATTTGCTGAGGTCCTCCTACTAGCAGGCCTCATGGTGGAACATGTGGGGAGATGGAAAGGTGAGATACCAAGTGGACTGGACCTTGAACCCCGAGGAGTTTCCAGTCTAGCAACTCAGAAAACCCGTCTTAGAGACATCTATTGTGACTTGAATAGAGAGGGACGAATGCACCAGACACTGAAAAAATTTCAAACAGGAGTGCCCCTTCGGTCGCACTGAAGCCACGACAGAGGCTCTGTGGAAAAATGCAGAAGCACAATGCAAGGGAAAGGGGAACCAAAGGTCAATGAGGAAGAACTTTAATAAAAGGCTGTTGTAATTCAACATGCTGCCCTCTCATCTCCTGAGATCAAATCAATGCAAAATAGTAAATAAACCTAGATCTGCTCAGGAAAGTTCCAATTAAATGAAACCCCCACACAGCCTCACCTCACTAATTGGACAGGAAATTCATGGTCAGCAATAATTCCATCACATCATTCATGCACTATTTCTCCTTGCATTATGGCAAAGCTCCTGGCAAATACCAGACCTCTAGCTCGCACAGAGCCACTGCATCCCTGGTGCTTTCAGAGGGCCCTTCATTCCAAGGAGGCAGAAGACAAGCAGCAGCTCTCATCTTTTCGCCCTTCAGCCCAATGCTGCTCCTCTGGGCCACACGAGGGCAAACTGACTTTCTGTGTAAGCTCATTAAGCCCAGGAAACATAGCAAATCAAAGGCATTAAATCCCAACTTCTTATTTTACAGATGAGAAAACAAAAGCAATGAAAGGAAGTGATTTACTTATCATAACTTTTTCTCCTCCAGCCTCTAAGTTTCAATTTAGGGCAGTGTTAATAAACACAGATTGGAATGAATGAATGAAAGCTCGAACAATTTATCACTGCCACTGATGCTATGCTCATCACATTGGGTCTGATGTTCAACGGCCTTCCCCAGACAGTCTTGTATTAAAATATGGATTGTGCAGGACCCAGACAGTCATTTTGGTGTGAATAGCGCTCAGCATAAGATTTTGTGCCTTTGGATGCTGCCAGTAGCATTGGGCCCCCACCTAGCATGGACAGGGCTCACAAGCTCTTTCCTAGAGATGGGAAATCAAGGGAAAGACCATCTTTATTTCCTTGCTTCCAGGTCTTTCACCTACCACTCACCCTCCAACAGATACACTGAGAAGCACACTTTTTTGTCTCTTGGAGGGGGAATGTATGGATCTTTCTCTCCCCACCTCAGCTTTCCACTTGTCCCAAAGAGCCCTCCTCCCTCCAAAGCACAGGGGCCTCTCCCTGAAAAAACTTCCTCTTCGCTTAGCTAAACCCTATTAATCCAATCACAGGAGGAGGAGGCGGAGGAGGGATCTTAACCAAGTGGGTGACTTACATTAGGCTCTTAACATCTGGGCCCCTTTCGTTATTTACATCCCAGTTTGAAATGCTTCCAACTTCCCTAGCAAAATCCTGTCATTTCCAATCCCATCTCTAGTGCGTTTCCTTTGAAGTCTTCCCCATCCTTTCCGTGTCCTCTCTTCATTTGTGGACTCTCAAAGCCCTGATGACACACCTCTGCTGTGAACACGGTCTAACATGTATTATAGATATCGATATATAGTATTGGAGTCTTAACTCTTTGAGTGCAGGGTCTTATCTTTACTTTTACAACGCTTAGCAGATAATATAAACACCCGTTAGATATAGGCTAATTGAAATTTTACAAGGCTGATGAAATTTTAAAAGCTAGAGCCAGCAGAAGGCCAGAAAGCCTGGAACTCTCTGAACTTCTCTCCATCTGAGCAGACTGCTTACATGGTCCTCATTGCTGCTCCCTCGCCGTGTCCACACCTGGACCTCCAACTTTCTGTCAATTTGGGGAGTCCTGATGACCTTCCCATAAATTCCCCTTTGTTCAGTCAGCCAATGTCACTGTCTGTTACTTGCAATCAACAAACTCTAAGTGATTTATCCTCCCCCACTCTCAACCCCAGCAATAATATTCAAAGCTCAGTTCCATTTCTTGTTCAGACCTAGCCACTCAAATACAGCAATTTAGGCAACTACAGTTCCTGCTAAGCACTGCATTAGGCTTCCTTCTCAGACGAGGGTGGACAGATTGAGTGACAAGGAGTATAGTCCTTTAGCAAGTGTCAATTCTCCCTGTGAGACACTGACTTTCTGTTTTACAAATCAAACCTTTTGTTTATTTGATTAGTATGAGTCAGGCTGCCAGGGCCTGCACCTCCCCAGCCCCTGGGAATTGGCAGCTGAATGCTGGTAAATAAATGCCAAGCTGAGACAGCAGTGCCTGCTCCTGGAATGAGAACAACCTTCATTAAGTGTAAATTGTTAGAGCGTCTTTACCACCGGCTGATTTATTCTATTCCTGGGTGGATGTTATCATTAGAGATTCTGAAGGCATGTTGTTAACCCTGAACATAGGATCTGGCTAGTTAGCCTGGTAAAGCATTGTGTTAAAGAGGCCAAGTTCTGTTAGTAGCTAGTTAGCCAGGCAGAGAAGCGCTATTCCTTAGTCACAGTTCACATTCTACCCTGTCATCTCCGGCTTGTGTTCTCTTGATTACAGAAAAGTCTAGGTGAGAAAGGAGAGAGAACTTAGTTCAACAAAAACCCGTCAAAAATACTCAGAACTCAGAGTACAACTTTCCAATATTCTGTCAGCATCAGCTTCATATATGAAAAAAAATTGATCATTTATCTTTGTTTGGGACCCTTTTTCTTCTGCCTTTTAAAAAATTTTTGGTGGTTTTAGTAAATGTGTACAGCTTATATGTTCTCTGGCTCACACATATAAAGCTAACTTCGAGACAAAAAATCAAATATAAAGCACTGTTTTAAAACATTTAAGTTAACATTAAAACACCACCCTCTTGGAGAATGCCAGTTGTCTTTCAAGGTCCAGTCCCAAGAAGTTTGCCAAGTAGGAAATTCCTTAGAACAAAGGTCTTGAAAACATTTTGTTTCCTGTGAATATTGTTGAGTTGAATTGGGAGAATTTTGACACCAATTCTTAAGATGCCCTTAACTTTGAAGGTGTATTACAGGGGGAGGGTAAGCTCATCCCAGCCTGCAAGCATAAGACCCATGAGCACATGTAACAGTGAGGAAAGTCTTTTCTTGGTCAAGAGATAATTGACTGAGGAGTCAGTGGAGGAGAGGAAGTGGGAGGAGCAAAGACAGATGTCCCCGTTGCCCCCCACCCACCCCAATAGAAGTCAAGGGATGAAGAGAGAATAGTTCATTAAGTCAGGGCATACCAAGAGATCTGATTAACTTTCTCTTTTAAGCTGGGAGATCTGGGCATGTTCACTCACAGAGGGAAGGAGTCAGTTGAACGGCAGACATGAGTCACACGGAAATTTAAAGGGCTCACAGAGCTCAGTCACTGGAGGATACAGGACAGAAGAGAAAAAAGTCCAAATGGAGAAGTCACCTGGTAAAGCAGGAGGAAGGACTTCCCTGACACGGAACAGTGGGGAGAAGCTGTGGAGGGGTGAAGCCGGAACACTGAGGGGGGGAAGTTGTGGTGACAGGTGGGAGAGCAGTCAGTAGAAGCAAGGGAGATGCCCGAGGGCCAGTACCTGCCCAGACTAAGAACACACGGCATTGAGGGCCTTACACCATCTGGCTTCTTCCCCTCTTCTCCAGCCTTGGGCACCCAGAACCCCTAACATACCTGATGCCCCTACTTCTCTGCACTCAAAGATCAGTCCCCGGTACGCTCCTTGCTCTGACCAGGTCTTTGTATGCACTGTTCTCTGCCTGGAATAGTTGTTTTCTGCTTTACACCTGGATAACTCCCTGCACATACTTCAGATATCAATCGAAAGCCTTCCCTGACCCCTCAAAAGGGCCAAACCTCACCCTTATAGTCCTTTATAGCTGAGTACTGTTCTCCTTTGCTGCACTTGTCACCGCTGTGATTTTGCATGTATTAATGTGACTTTTTTATGTCTCTCTCCCCGCTGCCCTCACTACTCTGCAGACTCCAGGAGCACGTGTGCTGTGGGGGTTTGTTCACCACTGCATGCCCAGGATAGTGCTGACGGCCTGGTGCACAGCAGGTGTTCACAAGGTATTTCATGAGTGAACAAATGAACGAATGAATGAGTGGGTGGAAAAAATTGGGGAAATTTATTAAGACTTAAAGGATATTTAAAATGTTTCTGAAGAACGATGATGGCTTAGTTTCCGCGGCCTAGCTTGACAGAATGTGTGGCCCCACAAATCAACAAGAAGGTCACTTAGTGACCATCACATGAAACTGGTTCCACTGATGTAGGTACGATGCAGCACCTAGCAATATGTAGAATGTGTTATGAACCCAAGGAAGGGCAGAGTCATGGTGAACAGGCTTCATGGGGGAGGTGGCACAAGGATCCTGAAATTAACTTTCAATCAGATCTCAAATCTCATCACTCAGGGAAGCTCAAGATGGAACAATAGGGAGACATTCAAGCCCAAGCCCAGAGGTACAAGAAAACAACTTCCAAATTCAGAATGAAGTTGGGAAAGGAACCTGTAACCAGTAAGATAGTTCAAGACTTTCGGGTGCTACGGCATGGAGCAAGGGCAAAGTGATTGAGACCCATTTGTGATAATACGATTTAAGGCTTATCTGCACATGATGCAAAGCCCCCACCCTTTCAGGACTCCCTCTGAGGCTGACTGTGTTATTTTTCCACCATAAATCTTCCCTAAGTGTCTAATCCTGTAGTGCTTGAAATGTGGTCTCCAGACCAGCAGCATCAGCATCACCTGGGACTTTGTTAGATTAACAAATTATTGAGGCCCTACCCCTGACCTACTGGGTGAACAGCTCTGGGGTGGGGCCATGCAATCTGATTTAACAAGCCCCCCAGGTGATTCTGATGCATGCTCCAGTTTAAGAGCCACTGGTCTCCAAGCTGCAGTATTAGTGCCGAGAGAGAGAGGTGGAAGTCTTGGGAATTCCTCTAAGGCCAGAAGGCTCAGTCAGCCAAACATAAAAGCTTTCCCTTATAGAGGCCCATTGGGTCCTTGAATAGGTGGGCGTTATTATTTTCTACAAGAAATGAAATTGAAACAAAAGTATTAAGCAGTTTGGCTGGAGATTTGGGGCCTGTGTCCATTTGCTAGGGCTGCTGTAACAAATTACCACAAACTGTGGCCTGAAACAACAGAAGTTCATTCTCGCACAGTTCTGCAGGCCAGAAGTATGAACTCAAGGTGTCCACAGGGTTGGTTCCTTCTGAGCGCTGTGAGGGAGAATCTGTTCTGTGCCTCTCACCCAGCTTCGGGTGATGGCCGGCAATCTTTGGTGTTCCTTGGCTTCTAAATGCTTCACTGCAGTCTCCTCCGCTGTCTCCATGGTGTTCTACAGACTACGTATATCTGTGTCTCAGTTTTGCTCTTATCAAGACATCAGTCGTATTGGATTAAAGGCCCACTCTATTCCAGTATGACCTCATCTTAATTTAGCTAATTACGTCTGCAAAAGACCTATTTCCAAATAAAGTCACATTCTCTAGTACGGTGAGGGTTAGGACTGCCACAGATCATTTTGGGGTAAACAACTCAACCCATAACAGGGCCCCAACTCAGGAATCCTGTTGAGAACACTTGTCATTCCTCAACATTCTTGAATAACCTCCCCAACCAGGAACACAGAGACACTTGGCAAATTGCCTTATGTAATGCCGCTGGCAGAGAAAAAGTCACAAAGAGTTAAATTACTCCCTTCACACAGTGTGTCCCCAAACCAATGATGTTCTCATACATTAACTCAGGATGTTTTCTGAGACCTTTCTTCCCCATTCCATATATGGTATCTTTAAACATAATAAAAAGTTTCCTCCTATTTCTTGGATCAATATCTAGCTATTTAAAGATACAGTTTAAAGAAAAGAACATAATGTCCATCCTCCATCCCACATAACTCTGTGCTCCTTCTGGCTTTAGCCATACGAAACAACCAGCTCTGGGTAGGAAGGGAGACTCATTAGGCCTGGAAAAAGAGAACGTAAATTCAGAAGACTATAAACTCAGAACTACTCTGTAGTTTTGGATGAGCCCTTTGGGCTCACAGATCTTCCTAAAGAAAAACTGGAGATATTTGTAATTCAGTTATTTTATGAGCAGTTCTGACCTTTAAGCACTAAACAATCAGAGGGAGAGAGGGAGCTGGTGATTCAGTGTCCACCAGCTCGCTTCTCACACTCAGTCTTCTGGAAGCACTGTTAGCCTGAGGGTGCACGTTACATGGCAGCGATTTCTGTTTAAGAATGCTGTTAGCCAAAAAGGAATGGAGGGCTCAGACCTAGATTTTATCATGAAATTCTTTTAAACACAAGGAAACGTTGAGAGATCTACACCAGGCAATATTTTAAAAGCTCTAGTTATTTCCATAAATGCAATTGAAGTGCTTAAGAAGCTAAATGAAAGGATCAAACCCAAAATAATTACCACTTCTAATTTCCTCCATTTCATTGAACATAAACTATCATCAAATTTTCAATTGCATTCAGGGAGAGGCACTGATATGTCTCATGTAATCAAAGTGTTCTCTCTCATTTAATTTTCGTTTGTCTAATATTTTGCATTATGTAAACAACCAGATATCAACTTTAAAAATTTTCTAAATCTCTTTTAATAGTTTGAAAAGGGTTACTCTGGTTTTTTCTTGCAAGGACTCTGAAATACTGCTTTTTCTAAAAATATTTTATAGCAATAATTTACTCAAAAGTTTATCTAACAAACTATTCAAGATGAATGTCAGCTATTTTAAGAACAATTTCAAAAACAAAAACTAAGACTCAACAGGAAAATGTACAAAGAATATAAGCTCCCTGAAGTTATATAAATAATTATTATGTGTTTGGAAAAACGCAGTATCATAAGAAATGAGGTTAAAATAAATAACTCCAATTTCACTAAATCAACAAAGATTTTAAATATAATATTTATTTTGATAAAGATATTATGAAATGAGTGTTCTATATACTTGTAGGCAGAGTAAAATGGGTACAATTAATGAAAAGCATTACATATAATATGGCACTACATATCAACTTAAAAGTTGTACCCTTAATTCAGTAATTTTGTATCCAAAAAGTATCTTAAATAGAAATTCAGTCAATTAGCCATGTGGGAAATGCAAATCAAAACCACAATGAGATAACACTTCATACCCACTAGTGTGGCTATAATAAAAAATAGTAGACAATAGTAAGTGTTGGTGAAGATGTGGAGAAATTGAAACCCTCAATACATTGCACAAATTGTGGGAATATAAAATGGTGCAGCTACTTTGGAAAACAGTCTGGCAGTTCCTAAAATGGTTAAACACAGAGTTAGCTTATGACCCAGCATTTCCACTCCAAGGTATATACCCAAAAGAAATGAAAGCATATGTGCACACTAACTTGTATGTGAATTTCATACCAGTATTTTTCAAAATAGCCAAAAATGGAAACAATCCAAATGTCTGTCAACTGATGAGTGGATACATAAAATGTGGTGTAGACTTACGGTGTAATATTATTGGGCAACAAAAGAAATGAAGTACTGATACATGCTACAATATGGATGAACCCTGAAAATATTATGCTAAATGAAATAAGCCTGTCACAAAGGGCTACATATTGCATAATTCCATTTATTTAAATTTTTGAAATAGGCAAATCTATGAAGGCAGAAAGTAGATCAGTGGTTACTTTGGGCTGGGGGGATAGAGGGATTGGGGTTGATGGCTAAAGAGAGTGGACCTTCGTTTTGGGGTAGTGAAAAAGCTCTAAAAAGGACTGTGGTGAAGGATGCACAAGTGGTTCCAAGTCCTGGACTGGCCATTCTGTCATTGTATGATTACCTCTGCCACTTACAGCATTCTCTGAAGTTGTCATCTATTGCTTCCCCCAAACTCCCTCCCTTCTCCGATTCTCAACTCCAAATAAAACGCTCTTCGACACCCAGCCTGCTGTCTCCTTTCACTGTTCTTTTCCGTCTGCCCTATTCTTTTATCTTTCCCAGAATCCAGTTTGTGTTTTTGTGCACATTGCCTGATACTACAACATAGAAACCTAGGAACTGAGCTAGCAAAGACAGAAGCTCCTTAAAAAGGATGGAAAAAAGCAGGCAAAGAAAATCCCCTCTGGCTAGCAAGGTACAGGAAGGCTATAAAACATTTACAGGATAGTAGTTCTGTCCCCACCATCAGAGTCTGGTTTTCAAAAGAAAGTCCAGAGGTTCATCTTGTTCTTTCTGCCTGGATGGCCTCCCGGCTCTCTTCTTTCCTCCCTTCCCCCTCCAGCTGTTGTCCGTGGAAATCTGCCTGCATTCAAGTGTCACACAAATGCCTTCCTTGGTCAGCTCATCTAGGCTTGAGCCCAACTTCTCTGGTCCAATATGGCTTGGTTTGAACCACTTAACTCATTCTTGGAGTTCTTAGTGTACTTAGTGGGGAGAGAGGGCATGGTCTGCGTCAAGGTCAAACCACACATTCTAAAATGGAAGCTGGTAAGAATCAGTCAACATAAAATACCAATAGCTACCATTTGAGCATCTTTCTGTGCATGACATTTTATAGATGTTACTCATGTAATCTTCATGTAACTCTATGCTGTGTGGATTCTAACCCCCGTTTTATGCATGAGGACATTGAAATTTGGACAGATCAAGTAATTTTGCCCATGGTTACAATTTGGTAAGAAGTGGAGCAGGAATTCAAACCCAGCTCTATAGACTCTTCTACCAGCTCTGCTTCTCCTGCCCCAGAACCACGTGCCAGGACGTAGGCTTGTCTTCCTGCAGAGAGAAGAGCACTAAACACAACTTGGAAAAGGAAATTCTTTCAGGGTAAACTGATGAAGTATGAAAATGAAGCTTTCTCATGGGCCTGCATGGTGAAGAGTGGAATCTGAGGAAGGTCAGGCTGGCGAGGATCACATGTCCCTTAAGGGATTTTCACTAAATGGCACTTCTTAGAGATAAGATAGGTTTTTGTAAAGAGCAGACACGTGCTGATGTGGACTAATCCATCCTCTCCATCTTGAATCTTGAATCTTGATCCCTCACCCAAGCTTGTCTACACTAGAGGAT